TAAAAATAAAGAGTCAACAACTAGTTAACTTATTAGATAAACAAAAGATGTCAAAGTTTTTGCTCTTTGAAGCTCACAGTGAATCAGAGATTCCTATTTTTTATAATACTAAAAATTATGATCAACAACTCATAAGAGAGATGATTGCAAATGTGATAATTGTACATGAGTATCCTTTCATGATGGTTGAGCATACTTGATTTAATAAATTGTTGAAAATGTTGAATACCAACTTTCAAAGTGTTTCAAGAAATACTATAAAAAATGATTGCATGAAAGTTTATGAGTGTGAGAAAGAAAAACTTAAATATTGTCTTAAAGATATTCATATTGTGTCATTAACTGCAGATTGTTGGGTCTATAATCAGACTATAAGACATATGTGTTTAATTGCACATTATATTGATGAAACATGAAAGTTAAATAAAGTTATTATCAATTTTATTCAAGAGTTACGAAGATGTTATCGTGTTTTTTTTAATGTGGTGATGTTATTGAAAGAAAATGGAGGTACTATTGTGTTATTATTGAGAAAATAATTGAATTAACAATAATTCATATTTTTACTAATTAATTTCTTTTTTTTTTCTCACAATTGCTCATGCAATTTTTCATATTATTAATAATTCTAAGTTTAATATAATTTTTCAGCTTATGCAATAAATAGACTGGCTTAAACTCGTATAGTAAATCAAGCTCAAGCTCAACCTAATTGTCTTTGGCTCGAATTGACTCGTTTACACCTCTAAGCATTTCAAAATTTTAATCACTTGGGCTAAAAAAAACATTATATAATAATTGAAGTATTTATCTATAATTTTACTTTAAAAATGTTAAAATAATATTAATATTAGATTAACAAGCTGTTAATTGAATCTCAATTTGCTAGATATTCAAATGTATATTTTAATTTTACAATTTATGTGTTGCATAATATATTTAAGTGTAAATTTTAGTTTATAGATATTTAAATATATGAGAATTGGGTGGTATGTGTTAATTTGATTTAGTGTGTTTCTATAATTAGCTAAAGACTATTATATATAAAAAAAATTCAGAAGTTTATAAAAAATTGATATAGAGGTATTAAAATGCATTTTAATGTTATTTAAGATACATTTATATATTTAAGCAATTAATGTTTCAACATTTTATTCAAGATTCATTTTAATGTTATTTTGAGACTTTAAATCATTTTTAAAATAATTGGTTAATATATTAAATACTGGAAAATATAATTAACACTGGTATTATTTAATGTGATTTTGCAATGTTGTTTGTGAGTTTCCGTGGTGTTATTTACGTGTATTTTGCGGCAGTGTTCGTGATATTATTCGCGGTGTTATTCTGATGTTATTGGGGGTTATTGTGATGTAATTGGAGAGAACCTGAGGTGTTATTGGAGATTTCCCGCGGTGTTATTGGAGCATTTTGTCTGAGCCAGTGTTATACAGGTTGTTTTGTGGTATTATTCAAGTGTTATTGTGGTATTATTTGTGTGATTATTTTGGTGCTATTGGTGAGTTGCGGTGGTGTTATTGGTGGCGACGTTCGTGGTGTTTTTTCATTGTTATCGTGGTCGTTTTGCGGTGTTATTGGAGAGATTTGTTGGTTTTATTAGAGCATTTTGCGGTGTTATTGGCATATTTTTATGATTTTGCGAGTTTTTGTGATGTTATTGACACATTTTTAAAATAAAATAAAAAAAAAATCGCAATAACATCATAATAACGCTGGTCTAGAAAAACATAAAAAAGCCGTTGTGATACCACTGATATAAATCCAAAATTACACCTCAACAATACCATAATAATATCGAAATAACATAAAAATAATACTTAGATAACATCATTCAAAAATACCACCATAGTCGCCACAATATCACTTAAATAACACCATATTAAACCTCAATAACGCCTCAATAACACTAAAAAAGGTGCATTAATACCAACCTTAAAAAAAACTGTGATACAACTCAAAATAACACCACAATCACAATAACATTATAGCCGTTGCAGTATCACTCAAATAACACCACAATAAACCTAGCTAACACTTCAATAACTTCACTAAAAACCACAATAAACCAAATAACACTATAATAAACCTCAATAACTCAACAAAAAACTACAATAACACAAAATAATCTCAATTACTACACAAAAAACCACAATAATACCACAACAGCTATAATACAACTCAAATAATACCACAATAAATCTCAATAACTCCACAAAAGAACCGCAATAGAATTTTGAAGCAATAGGTTGATTCGGGCCGGGTCATACGTTAAAATAAATTATTTATTTTCCTTTTTTCTTCAGTAGGACCGCGTCTTATTCGTGACGACACATGATAAAATTTTATTTGACTCCAAACTTAGGTTTATATATAGTGTCTGCACGTAATATTTTATGGGTTTCCTTAACATATAGATAGAGTTTTTTTTTTAAGAAATAAAATTTTTATTGAAGCAGACGTAATATATAATTGATTAAAAATTTGATTAACATATCCAAATTAAATATTTTTATCAAAATGTATCGTAGGATTATCAGATGATAGGGATGAGAGTTGAAATAAAAGCAGATTTATGGTGAGTTTATCTCAAATTAAGACTAATTGTGACTAATCACATCTAAGCAAATTTGATGGGGATACACTGAAAGGGACGAGAAATTTGAAATGAAAGTTGTTGTTAGGTATCATGAGCCATACCTAACCAATCTCCACTTTGGCGAATATCCAGACCCTTTAGGAGAAATATATCGCTTGTACTATATTTATAGATGCAAATGGCATAAAGAGAAAGTTGTCTCTATTATTGTCTGAAATAAAGGACAATTTAATAGAAGGAGAATAAATAGAACGATATTAAATATAATAAAATAAATTTAGTACATTTCTTTAATATGTTCCCTCAAGATGAGTCTTGTTGAGAGGCATCAATCTTAGGAGGAAATTGAACAAGGCAATGAGGAGAGAGGGGCTTGGTGGGTGCATATGCAAATTGATTATCACAAAGATAGATGAACTTTTTGCTGAATGAGTCGGTAGTTGATTGAAATATGTTTCGTTCTGGTATAAAAAGTTGGATTGGAGTACAAGTAGTTTGCACCAATAGTGTCACAGTACATAGTGTTGTGAAATTTAGGGCGAAGAAAAACACAGAATCAACACAAACCAGAAGAAGAACACAAAGATTTAATAAGGTTCGACAAAGATGCCTACATCCTCGGGAGCGAGAAGCGAACTCACTATTTCATAGGAGTTCTATTACATACCAAAGGGTTACACATATATATAGACATATAAAAAACCCATAGATAAATTACCAACACGCCCTCGCTTCCCCCAACCCACTAATCCAAGAGACACCTCTTCACACGAAGAGACACACTTCTTCATTCCAAGAGACACACCTCTCAAATTTCAAGAGACTCCAAATTTCTGGCATATGAGCCATACCTAACACATTGTTGGTGTAGCATGCAAATGAATAGATAATTCACAATGAATTGGTTGAAACCAAATAAGTTTAGGTGCAATAGAGGCAATGGCACGATATCCAGTTTTGGTGGAGGATCGAACAATTATGTTTTGTTTCTTGGAACTCCATGACATAACAATATGACCAAGAAAGACCGCATAAGCATTAGTGGAGGTACGATCAACTATGTTTGCAACCCAATCAGCCATTAGATAAGGCGTGTAGAGAGAGCAGGGAGTAGCGATGAAAACATAACACCTATGTTGTCTTTATCTCAAATTATTTTAATCACACTTATGTCAAATCACATATAAGAAAATTTAATGTTCTTAAAAACTTATTTTGGGAGCAGTATTGAAGAAGGAAAAAATAGGGTGGAAGTCTCATCTCCAAATTTCAACTCTTATTATATAGTAAGAGATATGACCGAAGAGGAGACCGTAAGGGAACCTCGTCCAAAAAGTGGGAGGCACCTGAATTTTCTTTTTATTCCCACTTGTCACTTCTCTTTACTCCATTGAGTAAGGGAGAAAAAGAGGGCAACAAAATATAAACAATAAGATTTAATACATGACCATAATATCCGTGATGTGGAAGTTAGGCAACTCTTAAATAGAAGCGTTCACTTCTCTATCATTGAGTGATGTCCTTCATGTCTTCAATTTGCAAATTATGAGGGGCAATTATGCAAAGTTGGGTAGGTAACTTTGGACAGTGAGCTTGGTAAGTCACTTTGGCAAGTGAGTTTGATAGGAGAAGATAATTGAGCCATCTTCCAAAAGCGGAAATTTTGGCATTCTGGGACCAAGCAAAGCATTCATTGGCCTATGGGAGCCACATATGGGTATACATTCTGTTTTTTGATTCTCTTTGTTCTTTAATCAAAGACTGTGAGAGTAACAAGAGAATAAAAAAATGATTTGCTACTTAATGACTTGTAAAGTATAGTTCGAGCTTGCCATTTATGTGCAAATCGACTAGAGAATGGAGAAAGTCATAATCTGAACTTTTTTTAATAACGCGCCCCACTACATGGAAGCTTTTTGGCTATAACACAATGAAAGAGTTGTTAAATCTACGTTTGAGTTTGGACTTTACATCTCATTGGGACAGTGCGGCGACACTTGTAGAGAATAGTCAGTAGAACTTATTGGTAAGTGAGAATTATTCCTCTCTTTGGGTCCTTAGCTTTTTCGTGCTTGGAGCAGTTTGCTTCATTGATATAAGCCTGTATGGAGCTTTGAAAGGCCTCAAATTGTTAAGCTATTATTAGAGATGAAAAATGCCTTTGGGCAAAATAAAAGCATGAATTCTGAACAGCGCGGCAAACGATGTTCGTGAAATTATCTCAGATTGCCCGATCGTCAATGAATTTATCTAGACGACCCTGAACGACGAAACAGACCACACGAACGTGCCAAAAAAATGATATTAATATAATTTCAGCTACACACTTATAAATAACTCACTTGTGGAAACATTTAAAATTAATATGTAAAAAAAAAAAAACCTCTAAAAGCTCACGTGAACCCATCTCCCTCACCGTCATTATCGCACTGCCTCGTCCTTTTTTTCTCCCATTCACATGCCCTAGCCGATCTTCTCCTACGCGGCGGAAACCGACACACGCTTCTACCTCACAAGCAGCACTAACCGACAATACCCTAACCTTCCCCTCTCCCACACGCGGCTTTCCTTCGTCCTGGACCTCACCACCGGTAACTTCCGAATCAAGCCATCTTCCTTCCTCGGCTAAAAGTACCCCTTGAAGGGAGGAGAAAATCTTGAGTCAGGACGCAGCTTGAAGGTTGTTTTCCTGGATTCTGAGAGGCATAGTGCGAGTGCTCTCGTTTCTTCACCAACAAGAGGAGGGAAGACTGCCATGGAGACCAGATTGGATCTGGACGGGAATACGATCAAGCCCATAAAGATCTGCATGATCGGCGCCGGGGGCTTCATCGGTTCGCATCTCTGCGAGAAGCTATTGACGGAGACGCCGCACACGATTCTGGCAGTTGACGTTTATAATGATAAGATAAAGCACTTGTTAGAACAACCGTCTAGCTACCAGCCGCATCACTGGGCTGACCGTATACAATTCCATCGCCTTAACATAAAAAATGACCCTAGGCTCGAATGCCTCATCAAATTGTCCGATCTGGTATGTACGGGCATTGCTTACCACATTTTAGTCATTCCAGATCTCTAACGTGCTAGATCTTATGTTGGTTGTTCTTGTTCATTGAGCTTTTATATTGATCAGGCCGGGCTTCTTGATTTACGTAGATATCGATTACTGCTGATGTTCCGATCTATGATTTTTTTGTTTGTCAATGCTGCAGACGATCAACCTTGCGGCCATTTGCACTCCGGCAGATTATAACACCCGTCCGCTTGACACCATTTACAGCAATTTTATCGACGCCCTTCCAGTGGTAAGTTTTTGACGTTTTCAGTTAACATATATTGTCCAAGCATTGATATTTTCTTTTTCTCTTTTTTTTCATGGTGTCACTGTGTTTATCAATTATAATATAGAAAAAAATTAGTACCATATGGATATTGCTGTGATTCAGGTCCGATATTGTTCCGAGAACGGCAAGCGTTTGATTCACTTCTC